TAGACTAGACTAGACTAGACTAGACTAGACTAGACTAGACTAGACTAGACTAGGAGAAGAACATCCTCAGGTTCTTCAGCCTGCCCTCACTGGACATGACTTCAGGTCTCTGTATTGGCTTTGTTGCATCCATTGGACCCCGATCTTTCTAGAAATGTAGTACTAATGCTGTCATTCTCCTCCCTGGCCCAGGTCATGATCCAACTGTTGGTTTGATATAATTGGCACTCAGGCTTTGCCACTCCTAGATGGCACAGTCAAGTAAATTGTCAGGGATCACAATTTTAGTGGAGTTGGCAAGAAGGAAGAGCAACTATAAGGACAGCTTTTATCTCCTTGGTGCCCATCGTTTTCCTTTCCTGAAATGCACCAAAGCAAAACTGAAGTTGGTTGCAGAAGCATGATGCAATTGAAAGTCACATCTTAGAAGCAGTAGAAAAAGGCAGAATGGGTGTTGGCAGAGGGGGACTTGAGACTGGAGGAGGAAGTAGCTATGAGCATCCAGTACAATCTCCCAGGATGTCACATGCATCTTGATGTCATCTTGGAAACCTCCCCGATTTTTGTCATGTTCATCATTTGTGCGACATTGTCGTAATGCACCCGAGTTCCACAGCTGCAGATGCCACATGGAGCTTCTCCTTGAGATGGGAAACCAGAGCTGAGTCAAAAAGTCCCGAATGACATGGGGAAGTAGCATCAACCCACAAAGGAAGGGGAAGTTGTGAGAGAGAGCAAAATGAAGCAAAAAATAATATGAAATAACCGAGATCCCAAAACCGAGATTGAAAGTGGGATGAAACAGCAAGATGTTGTCCAGGTAGCTGCCGGGAGTCAAAGCTCCGTTGGAAAGACCAGAAACCAGCTGTATTGAGCTGAGGTAGAATGAGTTCTGCTGCTGAGCGTGATTTTATGTTTTTATATTGATGATAGAAGTTTTTATATGTTTGTATGTTGGCTTTTAACTTTGTTTATTGTTGTTACCAGTTGTGAGCCACCCAGAGTCACTTAGCTCTGGTCATACAAATCAAATTCATAATAACAACAGTAAAACCTCCCATAAGAAAACAGAGAGGAAGTTATGTATTCTTGACAGACCACAGGATGATGTTGGGTCACACACACACACACACACACACACACTTCCAACCAAGATCAGGGAACACCAAGGATTCCACAATTCAGTCCTGAGCTTCAATATTTCTCTTCCAATAAAGGGGAATATGTGTACTCAGGGTTGAAATGAGGGGTCCTTGGTGCTTTCTGAGTTTGGTAGTTTTCTTGCAGATGTCTCATGATCCAGCTAGATAACATCATCATTGCTAGAAAGGAGTGAGGTTTGTGGAGAGGAGGAGGAGGAGGAGGAGTGTGGGTCCTGGGTGCTCTCTGAGCTTTGTGGTTTTCTTGCAGATATTTCATGACCTAGCTAGATAACATCATCAGTGCTAGAAGGGAGTGAGGTTTGAAAGAAGGAGGAGGAAGAGGAGAAAAAAACCAAACTCAGAGAGCACCAAGGACTCCACAGTTACAAACACGCTGGTTAAATAGTTTTACATATGGGTTCTCCAGTCTGCAGCTCTCTCTGTCTCTCCTACCGCCTAAGATCATTCTCACCTATGACCTCAGTGAAAATGAGTTGAAATTCAGATTTAGCTTTCCTGTCCTTGACTACAATGTTTTTCATTTTAAGGCTTCAACAGGCTGCCATGTTTCTCCTTCCCATCCAGGTTCCACAGGGAATCAAGAAGCGTCAAGCTCTCCACCCTATTCCGTCATCCAGACGCCTCTTTTTTTGAACGTAGCCGAAGGTTCCAATGTGATATTGAATTGCAGAGTGGAAGGCAACTTGTCTTCAAGGTGGTTTATGAACTGGATGAAGATGGGGGAAAAAGAAATTATCAAAAGTTCAAAGTGGATTTCTGTCGATAAAAATGAAACGGACAAATCCAGCATTTTAACCTTGAAGTCAGCTAATGTTGCTGATTCCGGAATCTATCACTGTCAAACTGGCTATTTAAAGTTTTTGAAAAATGGGAGCACAAATGTGACCATCTGGGGTAAATATGCCTGTTTATTTGCTTGTTTATTTTTAGTTTTTATTTATTTACTTACTTATGCTAAGGAACTCTTGCATTCTTTTTGCTGTTGTCCGTGCTATGAAAATGTAGCCGTTCAGCTGGATTTGGGAGAGGATCTAATTAGTCTTGCAAAAAGTGGTAGGATTGATTTGCGCCTTGAATGGACTCTATATAAGTATATAAAAGTAAGAAACCTGGTGGGACATTTCCAGGCTGTAGATTAACACTCCAGAAAAAGGCACTCACAAACCATTTCTGTCCAGTGGCCAATAGGGTGTCCTCAGAGACTCAAGATGGTGGCCATGGTAGCAGGACACACATAAAAAGTACGTAGAGTTTCGAACAGATCTAAGGTCCAGCTCTATTCTGATTGATTAATTGAGCAGGGGTTGGACTAGAAGACCTCAGAGGTCCCTTCCAGCTCTAATCTGTGTCAACTCATAAAACATTTTGTATACACGTTTTATAGTTGACAACAGAAAGAGCAGGCGGCAGTGTGGAATCGAAAGTACATTCCATTCATATTTTCTTCAAAGACTGATTAGATGGCTGAAGCTTCTGCCGCACAAAAATCTAATTGGAGAGCATGACTGATGACTCTGGGCTATGGACGTGTTTCATTGGATGATACACCCAGAGGGGTGGGGGGGGGGAAAGAAGGATCAGGGGTGACAGTGAATTACGTATCTCAAAGTTGTCTGAGCCCAGGTAAATGCTAGATGTAGAATGTTATCTTCAAATAAATCTTTTTTAGTTCTGGGAGTGTGGCTCGAGGCTCATGATTTCATTGGAGTAATTGCTGGAATCCTGACATTCTGATTGATTGATTGATTGAGTAGGGAGTTGGACTAGAAGACCTCCAAGGTCCCTTCCAGCTCTGTTCTGATTGATTGATAAGCAAAGCCAATGGGGAAGTCGGATTCCCTTAACAACCACAGTGCTAACTTAACAACTGCAGTGATTCACTTGATAACTGTGGCAAGAAAGGTCATAAAGTTGGACAAAACTCACCGAACAAATTTCTTACTAATGATTGGAATTTTGGGGTCAACTGTGGTTATAAGTCAAGGATTACCGGTGATACCTTTTACTATTCATCATTCACAGACTCTCTGCACCATGAAACAGGGGTCTCCAACCTTGGCAACTTTAAGCCTGGAGGACTTTAACTCCCAGAATTCCCCAGCCAGCTTTTGAGACCCCCTGCTCAATCAATCAATCATAATAGAGCTGGGAGGAACCTTGGAGGTCTTCTAGTCCAACCCCCAGTTCAGTCAAACAAGACTAGAATGTGGAACAATTTACCAAGCAGTATTCCAGGACTGATAAAGGTCTGAGCTCATTAGTCTACCTTTGCAAGACTGTTTACCAAGCCGTTGGCTGACTGCGAATGAAATAAATAAGTTGAAGTCTGCCAGGCTTAAAATTGCCAAGGTTGGGGACCCCTGCCTTGCCATAAAACATACATTCTGGGAACTGTTAGGAAGGAGCTGTCTTTGCCCTCTTTCTCTCACACAAAGCATCTAAACTGCACTCTTTCTCTTGCTTTAACCACTACACCAAACTGGTTCTCGAATATATATTTTTATACTAGGGAGTACTTTTTTAGAAGTTCTTTTGATAAACACCCTGCATAGAGGATACAGCTGGCCCTCAACTTATGTCCACAACTGAACCCAAAATTTACATTGTTAAGTGAAAAAATTCATGAAGTGGATTTTGCTCCATTTTACAACTTTTCTGGCTGCATTCGTTAAGCGAATCACTGCACTTGTTAAGTTAGTAGCATGGTTGTTAAGTGAACCTGGCTTCCCCCGTTGACTTTGCTTGTCAGAAGGTCTCAAAAGGGGATCTCGTGCCGCTGGGACCCTTCGACCATCATAAATGTGAGTCAGTTGCCAAGTATGCGAATGTAGATCACGTGACCAAGCGGATGCTGCAATGGTCATAAGTGTGAAAAATGGTCCTAAGTCCTACAATGCCTGTGCCATTGTAACTTCAAACGGTCACTAAGTGAACGGTTGTAAGATGAGGACTGCCTGTACTTTGAAATCTGTTACCAAATTTAGCAGACCGATTTTTCCAGCCAATAAAACATTCTTAATGAGTCCATCAATTATCTGTTGCAGCAGTGTGTGTGTGTGTGTGTGTGTGTGTGTGTGTGTACATGTGTTTGAGGTTACAATTGTAAAGTATATTGTTCTGTCCTAGGTCTCTCCCAAAAGCACTAAGTCAATTCTGAGTCCTGGCAAAAACCTCTTTTATTACATTCATGTGAATTTATTTCATTCACATTCAGCCAAAGGTTTGGCACACAGTCTTGTGAAGGTAGACTAATCAGTTCAGACCTTTATCAATCCTGAAATGCTGCCCAGTAAATAGTTCCACACACAATGCTGCAGTGGTGGGATTCAAATATTGTTGCCACCGGTTCGGTGGGTGTGGCAGTTTGCGTGCACGTGCGCACCAAAGGCACACTTTGCGCAGGCACAGAGGCATTCTAACTCGCCTCCTACAAGCCTGCATGATGCCGGTCGCTTCAGCAGCTGCCGCGCAGCACCATTCTGTGTTGCACAAAGCATCTGCGCTTCAAATTCAGCAGATAAAAGTGAGTCCAGAAGCCCGGGGCGGGCAGGTGGGCCCAACAGCAGAGTAGCAGAGAGAACTGGTTCGCTCTCTGCTGTTCTTTGCTCCTACTGGCTCATGAGAACTGGGCCAAACCAGTCGAATACCACCACTGCACTCCTGGCAGGGAAGAGCTGAGTTATACAGACAAATCCTCACGAGGCTGGAATGAATGGACAACCGAACAAGCGAGTTGTTTCCTGCAAAAGCCCCCCCCCCCATTGCTTCTCTTTTAGTCCTGATGGGAGGCACCATTCATTGTCCACCTGTGGCCTTACTCCTACATTCTGAATTGTTCCTTCCTTTTGGCAGTTCTGCCCATGCGCAGGCTGGTGAACTGATTCTAGAAACACCCCCGCCTCACTGCTGTCTGAGTCCGAAGGCAGTTGATGACTGTCAGCCTGCCCTGGCCCCATCCCTGCCTCTGATGCAGAGCCCTCGTCCGAGCCTTCCTCAGCCTCCAGGAACGGCCTCCCCAACCTCCTCACTACTGTCCAACTCTGCTGCCAGCTCCATTAGCTGGCCCCAACACACATGACTCTTCTCTTGATATTTTACACCATTCTATTTTCTTTGCTTCAACACAAAGCAGGGCTAAAATATGGATGCAAATTATGATTTTGTTGTTGTTCTTATTGTTGTAGAAAAGCCCAACATAACAGTGGATCAGACTCCACAATACGCCAACAGAAAAGTAGGGGCAAATGTCTCCATTACCTGCAGTTTTAGCAGAGTTGCCGATGTCAGTTTGATGGAAGTGACGTGGTACAAAGACAACCAGGAGTACACAAACCTAAAACACTGTGAGAAATTGAAACAGAAAGCGATTCTTAAACTACTGAATGTAGATGTCAAGGATTCGGGAAACTACGTCTGTGTAATCAGGATCGGAAATCGAACAGGATCAGGAAATGGAACACGTGTTCAGATCGCTGGTAAGTGGCAGGAATTTTCTTTCCTTTTTTAAAAAAATTGTAAAACATTTTATTAGATTATGAGATAAGACAGGGGTCTCCAACCTTGGCAACTTTATGACTTGTGGACTTCAACTCCCAGCTTTGCTGGCTGTGGAATTCTGTCCACAAGTCATAAAGTTGCCAAGATTGGAGTCCCCTGGGACTCCAAAATACAAAAGTAAATAGAAAGGCAGTGGGAGGATAGAGGGGGAAGAGAGGTGAGGAAGGGCTGGGAAAAAGGGGGAGGAAAGCATTCCAGCTCCCTCTGTTGCAGTAAAATAAAGCATTAGCATCAAACTTTTTGCCTTTTCATAGTAATATAAACTAGTCATTTCTATAAGCATCTATCAAACTAATTGGTAAAACCCCAAATCAAAGTTTTATTTTCCCCGCACCTTGAGCACAAAGTCTCAAAAGTAGTACTTATATTCTTTTCTTTACTCAAAATGGTCAATTTAGCCATTTCTGCCAAATCCATCAGCTTCTGCAGCCATGCAGAGTTCCCATTTCATGGGAATCGAAGCATCCTTCCATTTTTGGACACGGGTCTTGCTGCTGTCAACACACATGAGATCAAAGTTCCAGTTTTTTTTCTCCAAGTCTTTTTCCATTAAACCCGAAAGAAAAGTTTCTGGTTTCATCTTGATCTTCATTTTAAGAATTTTCTGTATTAAACTATGAATCTGACTGCAAAATTTATTTGCTTTATCACATGTCCACCAGAAATGATAAAAAAAGTCCCTTCTTTGCTTTTACACTAACATTCATTTTGAAATATCTTTATGCATCTTAGATAACTTATCTGGGGTTAAATACCAGCGATGCATCATCTTATAAAAATGTTCTTTTAAATGATAGTTTAGTGTAAATTTTAAACCCTTTGTCCACATAGTTTCCCATTGTTCAAGCATCACCTTATATCCAAAATTCCTTGCCCACTGAATCATACATTTTTTTTAACAATTAACAATCATTAAATTTTATTTAGTTTTCAAAATTTAAAAACAGGACAGGATAGTGGGGTTGAAAAAGGATTTATATTCCTTGCAGACAGCTGGTCATTTGCATCCTTTTAGAGGATTTTTTACAGGAACCAGGAGGACTACTCACCCTCTTAAAAGGATGCAAATGACCAGCTGTTCTTGAGAAGTTATCAGAAACAACAATAAAGACCTGGCTTTCATGCCATCAACATTGTAGGAGGAGAGCTATGTTAATCCACAATGGCCCAAAATCAGGAATCTGGTAGCACTTTTTCCAACAGGCAAATTTTATTAAAAGGTACCAGCTTTCGTGATCTGAGTTAGATCTACCAGATTTTTCCTGACTTTATTCTGTAGGACAGCAAATTTGAACTCCAGAACCAGGCCCATTTCTGAGATTGTTACCTGGGATCAGACTGCTGAAAATTTGGCACCAGAGTGTCTCCTCATGCTTGTCTTGCCTTACCTTTATATCTCACCTTTTATCCTAACTCTTCTCTCTTCTCTCATCACATCGTACTCTCCTGGTGGGCTAAAGCTTCCCAAGAGGTGAGTTGTGGTTGAGTTCTGGCATTGGTGAGAGAGTAGATTGTGGTTTGCGCCTTTCCTCCAAAAGTCATTATTAAACCTCATCATTCAAGGACATTTTTCATCGTTGCCTTCTTGGGAAAAAGTTATTGACAAAGTGATTGTGCATCAAGTTCAGAGAAGAGTACGGGAAGCAGATGATGTGATCCCTTCAAGTTGGGTTTCAGGCCCAGGCTCAAAACAGCACAAGTCGTCTTTGCAAATGATCTCCGGTGGAAGTGGGCAGGGTCAGTGGATCCATCCTTCCTCTTGGTGATCCTTCAAAAGCTTTCAGTTCCATTTCTGAACAGACTCTGGCAGTTGAGCGTGGGAGAAACAGTCGTGCTCTGGTTTCCCTCCTTCCTCTGGACAGGTTCCAGTTGACATTGATGGAATAACACAAATAACAGATTTAATAATAATAATAATAACAGAAGGGACCTTGGAGGTCTTCTAGTCCAGCCCCCTGCTCAAACAAGGAGACCCTATACAATTTGAGACAAGTGGCTGTTAAATCTCTTCTTAAAAACTCCAGCAATGAAGCGCCCATGATTTCTGGTGGCAAGCTGTTCCACTGGTTTATTGTCCTCCCTGTTAGGAAGTTCCTCCTTAATTCCAGGTTGCTTCTCTCCTTGATTAGTTTCCATCCATGGTTTCTTGTCTTGCCCTCTGCTGCTTTGGAAAATAGCTTGACACCCCCCCACTCCTCTTCTTTGTGGCAGCCCCTCAAATATTGTTACACTGCTGTCATGTCACCCCTAATCTTTCTTCTCATTAGACTAGACCAGTTCCCGCAATGGTTCTTCATATGTTTTAGGAGAGGCGTATCTCTCAGCTACATTTTGGGGTGTCCCAGGGCTTAACTCTCAGCCTGTTCCCCTTAAACACGAGGACATGTTAATGAAGAAACAAAACAAATAAATATAAATAAATCTATTTGGTACTCTGCCTGGAACAGGGGTCTTCAAATTTGACAGCTTTAAGACTTGTAGACTTCAACTCCCAGAATTCCTCCTCCAGTCATGTCAGCCCAGGAATTCTGGGAGTTGAAGTCCACAAGTCTTAAACTTGCCAAATTTGAAGATCCTTGGCCTGGAATGTGGGCATGGGGTTATGTGTGGATAGTCGATTAGATCAGTGTTGCCATCAATATATACGGCCACCCTCTTGCCAGAATGACCTTGAGTGGCTAACAGGACACTCAAAATAATGGCCAGCAAATGCAATTATATTTTTGTGCATATTTAAAGAGCAGGTGTACAATCCGATCACCTCATAGCTACCGGTAGAAATGTCAAATCTGAAACTAGAAGCAGGAAACACAGAGAGAGAGCAATTTACTGAACATGATGGGGAAGAGTTTCTGCTGAATGGTTATGTTTTCTCATGGAGACCAGGAAATGCAAAAAGAAAAAAAAAATTATAGGAAACCAAGAGTTCTGCAAGAAAGATTTGCAGTCTAATTTCACTTCTCTGTTTTCATGATTCAGTTAGCCCACCATGGGTCCTCCAGGAGAGCGTGGTAGAATTAAGATTAGCCTCTCAAAAGACTTAGGGAGGGGGAAAATGGTAGACGTAGTAGATCAAAAAGAGTAAATTTCTGTGAACAATCTTGAGCAAACCAGAAATGTAGGGATGATAACTCACAGCTTCAGTCATATATGATAGGGTGTTACCCCACCTCCTTGGAAGCTTCATCAGATCTCTCGTAGAAGACCTAAACGCTATAATAGCTAAGTGGTGGAAAGTGATCTACTTGGCCACGGATTTCAGGAGGTAGCTTTGAGCTAATCACTTCATGTAGGCCCTCTTGTGTCCCAGCATGTCCAACTCAAATCTGCAGATAGAGGTGTCTCACAAATACAGCCCATATCAACCCAAACCTTCTCCTTGGGCTTTCTTTGGCCATTGACTGAGTAGCACACCAAGGTTGCTGAAATTGTTGTCCTTTTTCCCCCACGCAGCTGAAAATCTTTTGGTGATCCAGTCACCCCCTTACATCCAGACAACAGAAGGGGACAATCTCACCATGGACTGTAGAGTCCAGGGGAAGGAAACCAAACACCTCCGTCGTGTTTCATGGTATAAGGTTGCCTCTGATGGACAGAAGAGCTTAATGACACATGGAGCTGGTGTTCTGAAAGACCGAGCGTCTCTGTTTTTGAGGAACATCAAGCAGGAGGACTCTGGAAACTATACCTGTGAAGTTGATAGATATGGCCAGGGGAATGGAACTAGGGTGACAATCCTTGGTAAATAGAACAATTTTCTCCCCTTCCTATGGGAATGAACCACAGTTTGTGGCTTAGCATCCCTGGTGAACCCAACTCACTGTAGGTTCTTCTAGAAATTGTTGACTGTGCCATGACTTCAACCAGGAGATGTTTAGGTAGCCTAAACCAATCAGACTGGAGCTTAATGAACCTGGTTGCATTGATTTATCTCCAGATTGATTATTGATTTCTCCCTAAATACCTCTAATATATCTGATATTGCTGTTAGGAGCTACGGTGGTGCAGTGGTTAGAGTGCAGTACTGCAGGCTACTTCTGCTGACTGCCAGCTGCCTGCAATTTGGCAGTTCAAACCTCCCCAGGCTCGGGTTGGCTCAGCCTTCCATCTAAAATGAGGAGCCAGATTGTTGGGGGTAAGAAGCTGACTCTGTAAACCTCTTAGAGAGGGCTGGAAAGCACGGTAAAGTGATATGTAAGCCTAAGTGTTATTGCTATCTTCCTTCCTTCCTTCCTTCCTTCCTTCCTTCCTTCCTTCCTTCCTT